ATTGAGTGTAAATAAAAGTTAATGCGATCCAAAACTTTACATGTCATATTGCGAAAACGATAAAGTTCTGAGACATTCTACAATCTTTGTAGAACTTTATCGTTTTGTATTAGTTTACATTTTGGTCTTCTGTCCGTAATCCAACTTTGATAATTAATTCGTTATTTGAAGCAATAGTCTTGAAGGCAGGTGCTAATTTGCCTGATAGAGTTCTAAGCTAAATGCTTAAAAAGGTTTTTCTTTACATGTATATATATATATATATATATATATATATATATATATATATATATATATATATATATATATATATATGTCGGAAAGTATAACACGATAAGCCAAAATTGTGTTGGAAATAACAGGATAGCGTTAATTATTAAAAATGGTAAAAATGTGAGAGCTGATGTTCAACTTGCTCTCTTGCTTGCGCAATTTATTGTTATCAATAATAGGACAGCGTAACGCTCTATACATTGAGCATAGAGTAATTACAGTTTGACCGTACTGCAGTGTGTCCCTGTCACAATTACGTGGTTGTTTTTATGATGAGGTAGCACCACTGTCCCCATTTGACAAGGGTTCAGTCGAGCTACCGTAGATTGTTTCCATTGTAATGAAAGAGATCTAAGACCACACCCTTTTAATTTTGAACTACAACTTTATTCTACACTTCTTATTATGAGACTCACAAATAATACTTGCAAAGTTTTACCAGGAAAATAGACCTACACTGACGAGCGCAGGAACTGAAGTGATTCTGTTGCCGCGTTCATTCAATAAGGAAAACGTAATAACGACTTAGGTGTGCTCTGATTGGTCAATACTTGACTAAACAATAACTTTTTATTGAATTCATTAGGTTACTTAAGCAATTTCAATTGTCAGGATTATTAATCAAATCGACAATTATTTATTCTACGATTTAAAACCATATTTGAGTTAAAAGTTGATAATGGAATAAATAGTTGTTTTACCAGGAATTAGTGGTCAATAAAGAGAAAAGAGTTTTAAAGAACTAGCTAGTTACATTTATGTTTCTGATAAATTGCTCTTATTAAATTGTAGTATTAATAATTATACACCGTTGATTATTATAATCAATTAAAAGACAATGCAAAGCATATGCTTTGTCAACCGATGATGTACTTGCTCCGACATATATATATATATATATATATATATATATATATATATATATATATATATATATATATATATATATATATATATATATATATATAGAAATATATATATACAGAAATATTTTGAAAAACCGAAAATGAATTTAAAATTTTCAGACTGAAACATAACAAAAAATTAATATTAAAATCAAAGAACTCTACTTATATCTATGTTTAAACCTCAAGTTTTTTGTCAGCTAAGGCACCTTGATATACTATCATGAACTGTCTGCTGGCTTAAGATGTCATCTAAAACTCTCAAAAACTACTCGCAATGTGATGCATTTGTTCTTACCAACGAAAATTAACCCTAACAAAACCCTTATGTGTAATAATTACTAAGAGAATTCCATTCCTTTGTCACAGTGCAAAATATCGGCATGTGATCTATCAACAAATTAAAATCTAATGTTTTACTGTTAAAATAGATAAGTAGTACTAGTAAGATAGAATAAAATAAAACAGCCTAATACATACATTCTGTTTACTTGTCTTAATACAGATAAGCAACGGACAAACATTTATTACATTTGTTGTTGATTTTTTATTATTTTTGCTATAATTGATGAAATTACAGTTCTTCGCTATTATTATGTATAGTATGACTGATGATTGGGGAATGCTTATTCAAAAGAAAGAATTAAATCATGAACATCAAACATGCCAGTGCAAGTGAAGCAGAACCAAAGCCTTTCGCATACAGCATACAGAGAGGGGGCTCTGCTCTTTGACATATCGCATCCATTCATTGTCAGGCAGCGAGTTGACTCACTATTACTTTAATACACATAAGCAATATTGTCTGTTATGTTTTGATAAGGTTGAGGGTAAGATAATAATATCTGTGGAAGGTAGATTTGATTAACCCATTCCATGCCAGCAACGCACTCGCGTGCATTTTAGTTTTTTTTACTTGTGTGCCTGCAACGAACCCGTATGCGTGTAGTGTATGTTTTAATAAAGTATCATTTATTCACTGTGCGTTGCATTATTGTTGCCATTTTTAATACACCTCAATCTAGATTATATTTCTGATATAGCAACACCGTTACAGTAGTAAAAGAAATGTCACATTTGAATTGACGCCGGTTTTTTGTGTTTGTGATTTTTGCTAGTATTATAAATCAATTTTTTACAGTGATTTAGGTGTTAAAAGGTAAGTAAATATGATTTTTTAATCAAATTTAGTCATTTATTTATAACAACATCGTAATTTTAAGTCTACTGACAATATTTTGGATAAATTTTGAAGTCCAAAACATACCAACGCTAATGTTGCGTTCAATGGCATTTATGAACGACTTTGTTCATGGATGGTGTTACACATCGACAATAATCGGTTGCTCAATGTTACTACTGCTATTGTAACTTTATAATGTTTTTTTATAACTTGAGATATTTTACTTACTAAACAGTGTTCGTATTACATACCCTACATGGTACAAAATAAAACCGTTTGTGAAAAAACGCTTTTATTTTTAAATTTGAATGGGATGAATTGTGTAAAGTATTTTTGTCGTTTATAGGTCTTTTGTTTTCTCCTCAAGCTTTACGGCAAATAATAATAGAGGTCGTCGTTTAGTTGAATTGTCACTTAATACTGCCGAAGGTACTAATTTACAAGCTGGAAAAGAAAGTTATTCACAAAATAGGTACGAACAGTTGATCTTTATCTATTAATATGAATGGTTAGAATGATTTTATCTATTTAAAATCAATATATTGAATGTTGTTATTTTTTAAATTTCAACAAATCGGATAATAAAAATGTTTCAGAGATAAAAGTAGCACATCAGGTTTAAAGCGGAAAAGGGCGAGCTCTTTATATACGGCAGTGGAACCTAAGAATATTTAGCGAAATTCTATTGAACACGATGCCCAATATTGCCATTCCCACATTCTGTTCAAAGGTAGGTAACCTACACATTTCTTTTCTTTAGTTATGAGAGTATTTTTAAGTTTAGTTTTTCAATAGAATATTGTTGTTTCAGTAAACAACAACTATTCAATGAGTCTCCAGTACTTTGCACATCTTTTAGTGGTGTAGTTAAAACTTGCGTCTGTCGAAAATGTGTCAGAATTATATTCAACTTCGAAGGTCATTGTAATCGATATGGTTGCCCAAGCAGACTGTGATAACAAATCATTTAAAAAAATCTTGTATAATGTATTCTGCTAGAATACCTACATTGCTTAATCTTTTAGCTTTTTTAGATACTGTTTTACATAACTATGTTGAAGCTCTTGGGCTAAAATATTTTCTGTATTTGCTAAATAAATATTTTTCATTTTACTATAATAATTATTATGAAAATACGTACTTATAATATAATTATGAAAAAGGAGAATTAAAGACTGCTTTGATCTTATATGAGTATTTTTATTTCTGTCACCTACCCTACAGCCTAACAATTTATATTTATATATTTTAATAAAGCCATCCACTATATACTCTCAAAAGTGCGTTCTTGGATCTCTCGAAAAACTTTTTTCACCATGTGCCACCCACGCACCGTATGCGTTTGGTGTATTTTTTTCGTATTTATCAACAAAATTTGTTTAAAAAAAATCTAAATACATCATTAGTAATCCATTTCCTACCACAAAACATAATAAAAACTGGTGGCACCTGGTCAACAACTTTTAAAAAAAGGTGGCATCGAATGGGTTAAATGAGTTTGTTGTGCAAATTGATCTGGCATTTATCTTTTAATGACGACTGCCGTAATTGACACATAGACAGGATGTTTCACATAAAGAGTATCTACTGTAGTGTAAAAGAGTCACTATACCTGCTTCTTTACAATAGCAGGTGTTAAAGGTATATTACTTACTGTTGTAAAGAAAGTGTATGGAATTTTCCAGACAAAAACTTCTATGATAGAGAATGCTATGGGGGTCGTTAATTAAATCAATATCAAATTGGCAACACACCGATATAGTCTTGAAGCAGACCGACAGACTATATAATCATCATCGTTTTAGCATTTCGCTTATATAGCAGCATTGATTTGCGGCTAGGTGGGGTTCGCAATATGTGACAAACATATCGGGAGAAGAGTCGGGCAATCGGGCATATGGTAGTTTGATATGGACGCACAAATAGAGGCTACAGTGACTGGCTGTTAGTCATATCGGGCTGAGAGAAAAAATCTACAGTGATCTGCACACATGGATTTTAACTGATAAGTCGTAGAGTGGAGTCCATGTTGAATTTGCAAGACCACCTCAAAGAAAGAATTTTTTTGTTATGATTGACGTCACGTGGACCTCACAGACCGTAGTCTCTACAGCAAGAGCACAAATATGTAGTCATTTCTCAGTCTCAAATGCCTGAGATGAGTGGCTGCTAGTCCACGCAAGTAGCATCCACACTAGGGCTTTATCACTCTTTTAAGCGACCAAAAAAGGGGCATCGTCTCTAAATTTTGCACAAGGCTCTAAAAACGGGGAAACATTTATAGAAACGAGCTTTTCAGATGACATCGTTACAATCATATTTTATTCTTAACATAGTTAATTCCGCGAGTAACCCGGGTTCGACCCCGCCGGCACCAATGAAATTGTTTTCTTTAAGTGCTGTTTTACCACGTGCTCGGCGGTGAAGGAAAACATCGTGAGGAAACCTGCATGTCTGAGGAATAAGAAAAAAATTTTCGAAGACATGTGAAGTTCGTCAACACGCATTTGGGCAGCGCGGCGGACACTTCCTTGCCCTAAACCCTCTCAGAAATGAGGGGAGGCTGAGCCCAGCAGTGGGACGTATATAGGCTGTAACTTTACTTTACTTTATAGTTAATTCAATCAAAGTGAACTCACCTAAAGTTGACAAATCTTCGAGTAGTGCCCGATATCTAATTTTTCTATTGTGGCTGCCTACACTGCTCCTTTGTGAAGACATTTTAAAGAAAATTATCAAAATTTGCCCCTTTGCACGTTTCTGCTTTGTTTTTGTTTACCACCTGATCAATGTTGCCACATTGAATTAGCTGTTTCTAGACCAGTGTTGCCAACATTAAAATCTAGCTCCCGTTGTAGAGAACCATGAAGGTTAGAGAACAGGAGAACGATCATATTGGCTTAGCCCGCCTGACCTTGAAAATTGTAGAATTTATAACGGCGCTGACGTCGGTGTGTAGTAACTGCGAAGTTAGCTGTTTATGAGTACAAGTAGATGAAGTTAGTTGAATAATGTACAAATTTTTATATCATTTTTAATGAGAAAATTTTCATGCTCCGTAATTTTGTAATTTTTGAGAAAATAAACATTAAAAAATGAAGAAATACTTTATTGTGCGTGGATGTCAAAGTGGTTTAGTATCTGATCGGAAAAATAGACTGAAAATGACTTTTATTGACCGGACTTAGCGATCGCAGCGCCTCCATATGTGGAGAACATTATAATCCCGTCAAAACCTGTCAAGTGAATGAATTGATTTGATATAGATTCTTGACACACATAGATAATTTTTCAGAATTCAATCTTCCAAAGTATACACATACATCAGTTTTATAACACCTTTAACCATCCCGTTAAAAAATCCGTTAGCATTAAACACAATATTTCCCGTTGCCAACCTCGCTGACCCTAAAATCTAGCGGGAAACCCGACAACAACACTGCTCTAGACAGCCATAAAAAAGTCCCTAGTTATAAATGAATTTACTAACAAAAAAGTCTCCAAATTTATATATATATATATATATATATATATATATATATATATATATATATATATATATATATATATATATAATCGGAATCTCGGAAACGGCTCCAACGATTTTCATAAAATTTAGTGTCCAGGGAGTTTCGGGGGCAATAAATCGATCTAGCTAGGATTTACTTTTAGAAAATGTCTTTTTGTCCGTGTTTTTAGGCAATGAAAAACTGCTACAATATCGTTAGAATAAGAAGGTAAATTTTGACAGTTTATTAATGATTACAAATAGCTTAGTTGGTATATTGGGCGGTCACAAATCGTAATACCATGGTTCGAGCCCAAACCGACCAACCGACTTTTTTAATTATTTTTTCAAGTTCCTTTCTTTTTTGAGAAAATCTATTTTTTCGGGCCCTTTTTTTAGTATTTTTAAAAAACACGAAAATTTAAATTAAACTAATTCCACTCATGATTTTTTATTAAAATAACCAGTTCAGTTTTTTCTATTATGTCGCTAAGATCAAAAAATATTATTTGTATTCGTATGTAATTTGTATCTATACATAATTTCCAAAACACACGAATTAAAAATAAAACCGAGCGAAAAATACCGAGCAAAGCTCGGTCAACCGAATACTATATACCTAGTATACGAGCAAAGATATATAGCAATTCTTGTATATATATATATATATATATATCGGAATCTCGGGAACGGCTCCGATTTTCATAAAATTTAGTGTCCGGGGAGTTTTGGGGGGGTAATAAATCGATCTAGCTAGGATTTATTTTTAGAAAATGTCGTTTTGTCCGTTTTTTTTAGGCAATGAAAAACTGCAACAATATAAGAAGGTAAATTTTAAAATTAATGATCGTAATAGCTCAAGTGGGTATCGGGCTGTCGCGAAATCGTAGTGCCCTGGTTCGCGTCCTGTCTTTGGTCTGACCTTTTTCCTTTTTTTTTTCAAGTTCCCTTCTTTTTATAAGAAAATCTATTATTTCGAGCCCCTTTTTTTAGTATTTTATTAAACACGAAAATTTAAATTAAACTAATTTCACTCATGATTTTTTATTCAAATAACCAGTTCAGTTTTTTCTATTATGTTAGTAAGTTTAAAAAAATATTCTTCATATTTCATTAGTATGTAATTTTTATCTAAATATATTTTCCACAACACACGATTTCCAAAAAAAAACCGAGCAAAGCTCGGTCATCCGGGTACTATATATATATATATATATATATATATGTCGCAGAGATCAAGCTATCTTTTATGAACTATAGATTTATGGAGTTTATACTAAATCGCACGCACGCACGCACGCACTTGCGCACGTACGCACACACACACACACACACACACAGACACACACACACACACACACACACACACACACACATACACATACACACACATACACATACACACACATGCACACATACAGACACCATCGAAAAATTGTCAGGGTGTCTTCCTGTGTCCAAAGAACGTCAATATTTGATGAAAACTCAATTTTTGAAAAGTGGGGTAAAAACTAATTCCAGATTTTTAAGATTTTTATTTTTCTTGGCGGGAAATAAAAAAAGAATTTAGATAGGTTCGATCTCCAGACTATTTGCAATAAAATCCATCACTTTTATACAGCGAAAAAGAAGCACCCTACTTTAAATAAATTACTTGCAGTATTAAAAGAAGAAATTGGGTTTGAAGGGGGCCGCGTCACCTTACATAGAATATTGCAAAATATGGGTTTTAAATATAAATAACGCCAGTCTAAAAGAAAAATATTAATGGAAAGATATGATATACTGGCGTGTCGCGCTTGCGTATATCCATGTGTATGTGTATATACATGTGTTTTACGTGGTAGAGCCATGCTGCAATTATATTAGTAGTATAGTTGTAGCACGAATGGGTCGGCTCGACCGGGGAAGGACGACGCTCTCACAGAATACCAGCGTGAAATAGTAGCTTAATGCTGCTGTATTTCGTATGGTGAGTGTAGAGAACCGGAGACCCTTTTTACTGGAAATGAGGCATTCCATCTCAGTCCTCACGGGTGACAACGCATCTGCATTTTGATTTGTAATAGAAGATAGATGTAGATGTCTATGGGCCGCAGCAACCACTTACCATCAGGTGGACTGTGTGCTCGTTTGTCACCCTATCCTATAAAAAAAAAAAACATGTAATTTGGTGTGTAGGCATTAAATGATCGTGTATAACATATAGGCAACTGTTTATCCGCTTACGGAAGAGTAACAAAGAATGTTATGTTTTTAATTTTTTTAAGTTTATTGTATTTGTATTAGTGTGTGAAAATGATACTTATTGCTAGCTAGAAGGGCAATACAACATCTGCTGGGCCAGCTAGTTTTTAACAAAATAAAGGTGACCCAGAGATAGTAAGTGTTCATCCCACATGATGATAGTAAGTGGTCATCTTTCCTCGATGAAGAATCAAAATGATGTGAGTTGTGGGTGACAACGCATATCATTTTGATTTTTCCGAGGTCTATGATGGAATGAGTTGTTTCCGGTAAAAATGGTACGCAGTTTTTTTACATTCACCATACGACACACAGCAATATTGTTATGCGCCATAATTAATGCCTGGTACATGACACTAGCGCCATCTAGTATCGAGTAGCAGAACTAATCCTTCTAGAGAATTCCATACTTTGGAACTTCCTACACCTAGTCAGTCGGGACCGGTATGCACTCGAACATTCTAGATGTTCCAGAAGAAGAGGGCCTATATAAGACCGGTTAGACCGCGACCGAGTCAGTATTGAATTGATTGAATATTATATTTTAATATAATCGATAAATAGTCTTTATCAAAATATTATACAAAGTAAAGGCCTAATAAGTCGAATCAAAACTTGCCACTTCGTATCAAATGTATGCAACATTTGTAAAATTAACTAGTATCACTGCAACGGACAGTACTGCAATGTAGTGATGTATCACAAATTTAACTATCGATATGTTAAATTACCCATTCGGGTTTGTCTGCCGAACAGGTTTTTAGTTTTTGTTCAGATTTTATAATAAAGTATTACAAAAATTAGTATTTTTTTCTATTATTGGTTTTATTTAGAGTGTGGTTTGCAAGATGATGTTGTGACCAGGATTAAGAAAGGAATGCTTCGGTAGTTTGGTCATGTGGAAAGAATGGATGAGGAAAGAGTGACAAAGAAAATTTATGTTGCAGAAGTGAATGGCAGAGTCGGAAAGGGATGTCCTAGGCGAAAATTTATCGACCAAATTGGCGATTTATTGAAAACGGGCCAAATTAGGAGTACCCTTAACCGACGAGCATGCATGCGTAGGTGTATGGATGTGAAGGAGGCGAGAGAGGTGTGTCAGGATCGTGCCAAATGGAAGTCTGTAGTCTCTGCTTACCCCTCTGGGTGACAGGCGTGAGTGTTTATGTATGTATATGTATATGGTTTTATAATAATAATAAATAAATAAATAAAATAGTTTATTCAGTAAACGATCATACATAAATTATTACCACGGATGGGGTCTCTTTTTAAGTATAAAAACTTGTGTAAGGAGACTCCACTCTTCCATAGCACTTATATAATATTTACATAATATATTTGCATGATATTTACACAATAATTAGCTATAAAAATTAAAATAAAAAACTAATAACATTCACGCCAAAGGTATTGTTACGGACGGCGAAGGAGCAACCACCCGACACCCGGATTGGTTCATATGTTAGCACTTTATGAAGATATTAGATGATAGTTAATATGGTCAATTTGGTTATTTTTGTCGTTATTTTATTTATATGTTTATTTTATTAATCTATTTGTATTAAAAATATGTATATTTTTTGTATCTATGTATTTGTATAAATAATATAATATAATGAGTGTCTGTATTACATTTTATAGTATATAAGTTTATTGTGTTTATAAAGAGAGTACCCAAAGGCATTAAGTCCGCCCTTTGTAACACTTTTTATTAAGGTGCAAAAATGTAAATAAATAAATAAGGCTCTTATGAAATAGCCATTTGATTAGAACATATTTGCAATTATGGTAGTAAGGTGATGGAACTTTTATGCTTTTATTAATGGCTTTATATAGAGTCGCTGACTGTTTTACATATTGCCTCCTAGCTAAAATAGTTTTAACAGCGACAGCTGTAGCCACTTAGTTTTTCCTCTTTTTGGCTACGATACAACGGTTAAACTTTATACCTTTATGCAGTCTT